TGAATCCGGTAAATATCTCAAGTATAGAGTTGCACAACGTTCATATGAACCACAGTCAGCTGCTGGTGAACACGTGATAATAAAATAAAGTGTTCTATGTTTTTCGTTAGGTGTTCGTATGCAATGGATTTTTACATACAAAAAATGACGAATTCGGTCGAATTTTGTTAGCGGTTGGCTTAATGTTGCCTAAACGGATCGTTTGGCTGTGAAGGTTTGGTATTTGGTTCCTCAACTTGTCTCTTTATTTAGTTTCATTATATCACGTCTACGCCAGCTGACTGTTTTATGAATAGGTGGTTTGGTGTCATGTGTGCTGATTCGCTGCTGACCAATGTGGCCCGTGAGCCATAATTGATATTTGAAAACAAATCTATGTAGTTACTAAAATTAATATGATAAGCGGCAACTACCAACCAACAGGACAATCGTTGTCCATACCCACGGTAAACAGATACACAAGCTCCTTTGTAAGTAAGTGAATCTGTATTGCTATCGTATTCCATTTGAGATCTTGACATAAAATACAATAAAGTCAAATACACGTAATAATAAAAAATAATAATAGAAATACTGTAAATGAATGAAATAAATACACATCTCACAATAAGAGATAAATGAATAATTGTAATATAACGTAAATAAATGTAAATCTGTGTTTTGCATTATTTTTTGAGGCAGCTGGTATTGAAGTTATTGTTTGATTTTTTGCTCGCTAAGCATAAAACAAGTATAATTGTGTTTTGAAATGTCTTTAATTATGTGACCGTTTTTATTATTTATTATGTTTATTAATTTCTCTCCATACATTTTATGTTTAGTAAAAAGGCTGTTTTTTTCTTTATCATATAACTGGCACGTGAAAAGGGAATGTTTCATCTTTAATTTCTCCAAGATCACAGACAGGGCATTTTCTATCAGAGAGGGAAATATTTTTGTATCTGCCCGATTCAATCTCTAAACGGTGGACACTTATTCTAAGTTTAGTCATTTGGAGGTATTTCTCAAAAGAAAAATAAGTTTTTATTTTTCTGTATGTTCTCAATTTGTTGTTATGCACGCCCTTATCATCATCAAACATGCATTCTTTACTTTTTCTGGAATTGCATTTTAAGTTTTTCTGTAATGTCTTCAATAGTAGCATTGCTGTATTTAATTTGCCCATCTTTCCAGATATTACTGTTTTTTCAAAATCTTTTTCACACCAGATACCCAGTTTTTAGTACCAAAATCATGCATCTTTATACCAAGCTTGTATGCTTCACATACTAATATATTTTCAGGCATTTCCTGAACCCTCATGCAATATTTTAACAATTGTTTTGTATCCTGTACTGTAAGAGGGTACCTCCCTAATTCAATTAAACATGGCAAGTTTGAGGCTCTGCTGTGCACTTTTAATAACAACGTTCAGAATTTGGTATGGAGTTTGTCTTGGTTGTTGTCAAATTCCAAAGCTGTTTTGTGTGGGTAATAATACCACTAGACCATATTGCCATATATAGACCAAGTTGCCGAAAATAACAGATGATTCATTTTGAAGCAGGCCTTAAGAGATTTGTTTTTTAGGTCTACCTGGGCTCTGTCTAATTTCCCTGTTGTATTTAAATTTATGCCAAGGTAAGTGTATGATGTCACTCTTTCCAATACATCCTGGTTTATAAAAAAATTATATTTGTCTAGGCGTCTACCTGCTTTGTTAAATATGATTGTATGCGCCTGACAAATATTACAAGAGACTTTTCGCAATGACTCCCGCTTTAGTTATTTTACTCCCGGATTTTACAATAAGATGTGTCGTTGGTGTGTTAAAAACTACAAAAAAGTCATATATGTCATATACACACGTCCTTAAACTATTTGTTTCAGTATAAGCAGTATGATCACCTAAACACTCAATGTGGCACAGTTCGTTGTTGAGGGACTCTGAATTCGGTGATACGATCGTTGCAACTTGCATCTCTGTAGCTACACATATATATCTCACATATTTCTACTTACCTCTGTTTTGTGTGGATCGGTAAAAATCTTGTAGTGCTGTCTTACTACAAAA